ATCGTGTAGTATTGTTAAATAATGTATTTAGTAATCGTGTAGTATTGTTAAATAATGTATTAAGTAATCGTGTAGCATTGTTAAATAATGTACTAAGTAATCGTGTAGTATTGTTAAATAATGTATTTAGTAATCGTGTAGTATTGTTAAATAATGTATTTAGTAATCGTGTAGTATTGTTAAATAATGTATTAAGTAATCGTGTAGCATTGTTAAATAATGTACTAAGTAATCGTGTAGTATTGTTAAATAATGTATTAAGTAATCGTGTAGTATTGTTAAATAATGTATTAAGTAATCGTGTAGTATTGTTAAATAATGTATTTAGTAATGGGTTTAGGAGTTTGCAACGTTCACTACAATTTTTATAACGTTTTATTGGAACATAGAGTGCAGTTTTTAAGCAAGTAACAATGTTTACTTTATCATATTAAAAACCAGTTTCTTGTACATTACATGACGAAAAAAAAATCATGTCGTTAATACCGTTTATGGTGAACGGATTACAATGACGTACAAGAACAACAAACATAACATCAAGGGCCATGTTTTTATGGTCAACAGTCATTATTGAATTTTGACTAAGACAAAAACTTGAGGGTTTTTAGAAGCAACATCTACTTACCTCATCTTTATCTTTCTTCATTTTATTAACGCATGTTTACTCTGACATTTTACAAATGATCAGGGAAGTTTTAAACTAGGTGGGCTCCATTTTGTTACTTCTATGAAAGATTCATTTCAGTCGTAAGCTACCACTGTGTTTTATGTCACTGTGGATGTTAATAAAACAAAAAAAAGAAATATTACAGAGCATCTGACAGGAACTACCTTGATCAATTAGTGCGTTTATTTTAGAATATTCATGCAAAGCTACACAAGGGCTATCTGCACATGGTTGTCCATAATTTTGAATTTACACACTAGATGAAATGTGGCTATCCAACAGCACTCGCTGCATGCTCTATTCTTCACCTGAACAGTGGAAGTTGACCACCTCTTTTATAGTGCACGCGTGGCTCCAAAGTTCAGAGTGCACTTTTTGCCATGAAACCCGAACCTTTGAATTCACAGCTCCAGGCAGACTAAAACTAGGCTACACCCAGCCCATAATCAAATGGTCTTTCTCAGATTTTTATCAATGATAGTTTGTAAGAGCCAAAATAAATTATTAATACCGAGAGCCTGCTTACCTGAGTGCTTGCAATCTTTCCATTGCCGAGGTGTGTTCTCCCGATGGCAGAAGAATGGGTCTGCGTCGGACATAGCGTACCTGTTGGTCCACATGAATATTTGATCTGTCACTCTGTAAAGAAAGAAGATACAAATAATTAACAATCTCTACAAATAATATGTTTTCTTTTCCTTGAAAAGCAGAGAATGTACAAGAGCAGAGTAGTGCTTAGTACACACAATTAGTAGAGTGACTCCTCCCTACAAAAGTAGAGTGACTTCTCCCTCATTTTAAGTTTATTTTGGAAAGTGAGATGGTATATTGTTGAACATGACAACTTAAACACATGTTAATCGCTCAGCTTACTTGGATATTCTTTCTTCAAATATACACCAAGACTCAATACATACAATAAATCAGTGATCCTCAATCATTTTACACACCGGGCCACTTCACACGATGACCATAAAGTCAAAGGAAGACTCTGAGCTTGTTGGGGAACACGTTATCCCAGAAATACAGTTTTGCTTTCTTTTGCAATACCTGATCCTAGTGTGGACCATGAATCGGGTTTGTGAGGGTCTGATGTGGCCCGTGAACTGCCGACTGAGGACCACTGTAATAAAAGGACAAAGAAACATCATGTACTTACAAGGTAGGGTTCTCTGTAAATATTTAAGGTGGGGAACAGTGACACTGGTATCTGTGCTGCTGTAGTGTGTGGAAAATAATTTCTACTTAGATCCTCAATGTAGTGATATCCACATGTAGTTGTTACTGTTGAACTATCAGTTTCAGCTGGAAGTTTACATGACTGAGTGGTGTCGCGGGAAGGCCTATAACGATATATCATCATTAAAAATTATATCAATTAAATCATATCAAAATTTCTAACAGCAATATATCAATTCCTGAGTAGAAGGGACATAACACAGACTATGTGTGTATAATACACTAGTTTCCTGGTATACCATTAACTCATCTCGAAATGATAATACAAAATTAGGTTTCAAAACAGAGAGAATGTGAAATACAAAACATGTATCAGCTACTGTTAAACTGGTTCACATTATACAGTGCACACTGAAATTATAGCAACCAAATATAAAACACACTGAAAAAATATATTGAACAGAATGATACCTAAAAATGTCTATTAGTATTAGAAGCTACTGGCGAAGAAAAAAAATATCACACTGTTGTTTAAAATTTTCCTTCATATCCTTTAAATCTCTCTTTAAACACATTTATTTGATACACCTGTCCCCCCCCCCCATTACAGTATACTATAATGGGGGGGGACAAGTGTATCAAAAACAAAAGGGATTCCTTATAACATTCCAAACACATTTGATTTACAATTTCGTACTAATGAAGACAGCTGGTTGAATCAGTTAAAAGCAGGTTTTTGTGATTGGTTGTATCGTGTATACATGTACGAGTAAGACTAAAATAGTAAAAACATTCCGTATTTTTCTTTAAAGTTCTGAAAGACTTGGAACAAAATTCAAATGAAGGTCATCTATGATATGGTTAGAGGAAAACCTGATCACGCCTACGACTTTCAGTTTATGATATGATGAAACGACACAACAAAACTTGGTTAAAAACATTCTAAAGTCATTAATATCTGTGAACAAAGTCTAATTAAGATAATTTTTAAACTTTAAAGGCTTGTGAGTATGAGTTTTTATATATATATATTATCTTGGAATTGTGCCAAAAAATTAATCCACTTAACTTGTAGAAACAAACATGATGATCTGTTTTATATAAACACACACATACATAAGATATTTTATTCCTTGTAAAATATTATTTCACACTGTTGCTGCTAAGCCTAAAAGTAGTTCAGTTACCTTATGTGCTAGAGCTGTCGTAGGTTGTTCATGGGTTGGGTGATATACAAACGTGTGTGCTTAAATTGAATTTAAATCAAATTTACAACATCTTATGCCCACTGCACCAAATCCTATATAAACAAGGCGTAATCACCAGTCCGTTTATGTCTTAGTTCACCTCTCCCCATCTTAACATTACAGCATCAGTCGTCCAAAATCTTATTTCACCTGCTCACATCTTACACAAACAAGATTACTGCATTAACCCTCCTATGTTATTAGTTCAACTGCTCCACATTTCATAAGCAAGAGTTAAAATTATGTCACTCCTCTTACATATTAGTGCTTGAATCCAATCCACTAATAAGATGTAAGAAGACTGACAGGGAAAGCTTGAATCCAATCCTTTCCGTGTCAGTCTTCTTACATCTTATTAGTGCTTGAATCCAAACCTTTCCCTGTCAGTCTTCTTACATCTTATTATTGCTTGAATCCAAACCTTTCCCTGTCAGTCTTCTTACATCTTATTAGTGCTTGAGTCCAAACCTTTCCCTGTCAGTCTTCTTATATTTTATTTACACTGTTCCATGTCTTACATAATCAAGACTGTTGTACAAAATCATTACCAGAAAGTTCTTAAAATAAGGTTATGTGTATATATAAAATAATGTTAACAATAAAAACACACTTCATATAGTGGCATTTAAGAAAGTATGGACTTTTTTCTTAATTATATGCTCTGACTGTGTTCAAATTAAGCTGTAGTATTTTTTCAAGGTTCATGTTGAGAAGAAAACAGTGAGGAAGTTTATACTGTGGAGATAGAACATTTGTAAATCAATATTTTACATCATTAGCTACATCAAGGCCATGCCTGACGAACTAATAGAAACATTAATAAAGTCTTAATGTGTACGAATCTGTTATTTTGTTCTAAGCTTGCAAGATGTCTACAATGGCATCAAACAATAGTTTGAGGTATAATCAATTAGTTTCAATATGGTACAATTCCACCAATCACAAGCTCAACAAGGTACAGTTCCGCCAATCACAAGCTCAACAAGGTACAGTTCCGCCAATCACAAGCACAACAAGGTACAGTTCCGCCAATCACAAGCTCAACAAGGTACAGTTCTGCCAATCACAACCTCAACAATGTACAGTTCCGCCAATCACAAGCTCAACAAGGTACAGTTCCGCCAATCACAAGCTCAACAAGGTACAGTTCCACCAATCACAAGCTCAACAAGGTACAGTTCCACCAATCACAAACTCAATAAGATACAGTTCTGCCAATGACAAGCTCAACAAGGTACACTTCCGCCAATCACAAGCAAAATATGGACAAAAAGTCATTTCTTCGTGATTTTTTCCATTAGCCACAATGACGAACAGAAAACACTTTGTTTCTCACCCCTAAGAAAAAGCGATCGCAAGCAGTGAATGTCGAGCGATTGATCTGAATGACGTCAGTGACCATATGAAACTGGGTCAGGTTACTGGAGGTACAACATATCCCAAAATGATACTTTCCAGTTCATTGTTCCTTAGTGTAACAATTAAACTGGTTTACCTGCTATAAATGAATGCTTTCTAAAACTCTCAAGCAAATTGTTTGCTAAGCCTAGTACACCAAGATTTTGTAATTAGCATAATCTCTTTTATTCAGAAACTAGTAGAACAGTCAAAATTGAACAAATATATCTATAGTCATGGTATTTCTTTAAAACTTCTTTGTGAAGAACATTTTCAATAACTTTACTTTCAGGAGCATTTTGAAAGTTGTATAGAGACAGGCAGAGCTGACCGTGAGAAAAAAAAGAAAAAATTGGCTCAGTTACGTTCAATATATTTATCAACGTATTTAAACACGTAAATCACAATTAACATATCATTGTTTCTTTTGAATTTTGCACAAAGCTACACGAGGGCTATCTGTGCTAG